CTTTCATGGTGAGATCACTTTGTGGGTCTTTGCACTAGAAGAACCAAAGGGAGAGAATTCTGGGGCAACCCTGCATTCTGTATTTACCTATTATATGAACAGAATTTTGTAACAATATTAAGATGTGTCTGTAATGTAAATAGTGGTTACCACTGAAAGATGGTACAGAATTTAGAAAAATTTACTACAGGTTCTGAAATACCAAACTATTTCCCCATACTTACAATATGAAAATATTATGGTATCTGAAATATACCATACAGAAAATACAGAATCTAAATGGTACCCTGTGCAGTGTTCCTAAGCCCAATGGCTCAGAAATATCCAAATAGCATGAGCTGAAAAACTGAAAATTGATTGTTATTTTTCAATTTGCCCTTCAGTATTTTAGGGTACCCTCTGCTCACTTTTTCAAGTTTTTCTCCACAATCATGAGGCCTGATATCTTATTTTAAATTTGTATATATGGAAAAATCAGTTTTCTTTGTCACATGACACTAGGAACAGGATTTTTTAGAAAAATCACCATAAAATGTGAGGCTTACAATAAAACTGAGAGTTTGGAATACCGCCTGTGTATGTACTTGAGTTCACTTTTTGACCATGAGTTTGTTCCATATGGAATGTAGTTGTACTGTGGAGAAAATGATTTGCCTATTAATTAGCTTTAGAAGGTTCTCGAATGTTATGAAAAAAGAATGTACTGACTTTCAATGTTATCGCTAATTTCCTGGGCACTACATACTGTAGAAGGATTGATCATTTTAATACTTTGCTGAATTTCTTAAGAAAAACAAAACAAAAGAAAAACAAAACCTCTGTATTAAAAACTACTAGCTGACCAAGAACTAATTAGCTGCTGTAGTAATATAAAAATACAACATTTTGTTTCACAGACTATAAATCAGAACAAGAATTCAATAGCTGGTTTGCAGAAGGGGTTCAACTTGTACTAACCTTGTTCCAGAAAAAGAAACTGGAGAAACTGTTATAGTGTCTTATTTGTTCTCTGTTAATTTAGCGTATCTGGACAGGCTGTATCTTGTTGTCTCCTACTATCCAGACTAAATAATTAATCAAAATAACTAGTAATTTAAAACATCTTAAACTTCTATCTATTTATGACTATCGGGTGTGAGCTGAATTTGAAAACAGCAGTTCTCTAGAACTTTTGGACTCAGGTGTTCTATACATAATAAATATTTAATAGTTCACAGTGAGCCTAAACAGAGCATATTGTGTATCTTCTGTGTCACTCGTCTCCATATTGCATGCCAGATGGTGAATCTCAAAAAGCTTTGGCTTTCATCAGGGCTGCAAAACTTCCAGGGTTTGCTTCTCTGTTTTTTTCCCGAAGTGTACCCAGATACACATGGCCAAAGCAGACGTAGAATGCTATTATTCCAATGGAATCTGGGTGCAACAGGATTTGTGTTAAATACCACAATTGGTCAGAAACCAATCCAACATTTCACTGGAAAGCAGCGTCCATGATAACCATTCTATGGTTGTACTCTTGTCTCGCGAGGAAGAGTGACATCTGTTGAATCCCTTATACCAGTGTTTCTCAAAGTGGGCCATTGGCCCCCTTTATGAATGCTGCTAATGGGCTGCTCCACTTTGTTTATCGGAAGGCTCTGCAGCCTTGTGGCTCCCATTAGCTCAGTTTCTCTGTTTCTAGCCAATGGGAGCTGCGGAAAGTGGCTGTTTCCCATGGCTCCCCCTGCCTGTAAATAGTGAACCAAAGCCAATGGGAGCCACAAGGCTCTGTGGTTGTGGAGCCTTTAGATACACAAAATGGAGAGGCCTGTTAGCACCATTCCCAAAGTGGGTCTGCAGCTCACTTTGAGAAAGTGCCTTACACCATTTTCTGTAGAACCCATTTTTTCTTTTAAAATCTCCTATCCAAGGAAGCCCTCAAAATCTGCTTGGGAATAAACTGTGCATGGAAATTGGAACCCTGCAAGTTTCAACTCCTGGGGCTCGTCTACACTGGCCCCTTTTTCCGGGCACTTTTTCCGGAGGATCGGGGCCAGTGTAGACGCTCTTTTCCGGCTTTTTTAAAAGCCGGAAAAAAGCGGCGGACATTTTTATTTAAATGCCGCGGGGGATATTTAAATCCCCCGCGGATTTCCCTACGACGACTGGTGAAATTTACATGCCCCTTCCGGAAAAGGGGCCAGTGTAGACGTAGCCCTGGGGTTTACATTGAATTCTTCCAGTCAGGAGGGTATGATCAAGGCTGAGATAGTTTGATAGTTTTGTGGTTAAAAACACTGGACTAAGAGGAGATTTAGAATCCATCTTCTGTTTTACTGGAGGTATCCTGAAATAGCCACCCCGCATCCAAGGAACACGTCCACTATTTTGAGATAATTTTCGAAATAACAGACATGCTATTTTGGCATCCCTGTAAACCTTGCTCCACAAGGAGAAAGGGATGTCTCGAAATAGTGCTGTATTTCAAAATTTGGCACCATGTAGACTGCCAAATTTCAAAATTGCCTATTTAGAAATAAAATCGAAATGAGATATGCAAATTGCATATCTTATTTCTATTTTAGAGTGCAGTCTAGATGTACCTTGTAAGGAGTAAGGGAAGTTGGAGAAAAAGTGTTCTGTTTCAAAATAAGTGCTATGTAGATGCTCCCAATTTCAAAATAAGCTATTTCGATATAAGCTATGCAATTGACATAGCTCAATTTGTGCAGCTTATTTAGAGTTAAGCTCTGCTGGATAGATGCACCCTTAGGGTTTTTCTGCTTTCTTGTCACCCAGCCTCTTTTGTGAGAATGATGTCATCTCATGATGACTATGGAGAGCACTATAGTAGCCCTCCTTGGCTGTCCTTCCCTAGAAGCTGGGCAAACAGGGAGAGAAGGCAGGCAGAGAGGTTTCCCTCAGGCAGTAAGAAAAATGTGCAACCCGCAGTGACCTGGCTTGCTACTTAGACATTGTTTTTCCTGGGTCTGTGACCTGTTGTGACCCTGCACACTTAGAAGCACTGTCTGTACCATGTTAGCACATTCTCATCATAGCACAAAATAGGCCTTTCCTGTTAAGCAGAAAGAGAAGACACGAAGAAGCACAGTGACCATTCGCAAAAGAAGTGGGTTGATTACAGTATTTGTATTAAGCAAGAAGAAGTGGACATTTTGGATTAGTCTCTTATTGGCTCTATTGTTGTATGCTACCTTAGCCAGCTAAACACATGCTGCTTATATTTAGTAAACCACTGATTCCTGGGACACTTGTACAATAAAATTAATAAAGGCCCTTTATCTACTACAGAACAAATCACTATTAAAATACATGTTGTATTTGTGGCTGTCTGCTGATAGTGACTTTCACTCAAGGAACTCACATAGTTTACAGACTATTAGGAAAAGGGGGTGACAAAGGACAGAGTAAATCCTTAGGGCGGTGTTGCATCTTTCTACCTTAATGAATCCTACTTTTACTTGCATTTGAGAAACAATTTGGCATAGATTCACACTGTTGCTTCTTGGCTGAACACTGTGACATGCTCTAGTCTGATGTCTGCTTCAACCTGTCTTCCTTGAATGCCCAAAGCTCCCACTGAAGTGTAACAACTGGTCTTTCAAGGGAAATTTGGGTCCAGCTGAAGTCTCTCCATCAACTTCACTTGGTTTTGAGTTAGGCCTTTTGGCCTAACACAGAGAACACAGGCTTGAGTCTCAGGTTTTGTTCTATCAAAGACTACTATAGTTTCAGATTACGGGCTAAGTCCTGAAACCCTCTGTATATTTTTCTCATTAACAATATTAATGAATTCCATGAGACTGTTTACAGGGGACAAGATTAATCATGCATTTGCAGGGTCGGGTCCATCATAGTATTGAGCTGTGTGTTACAGCTGATTACTTATAAGAATGTACCACACACAAGTTTTCCCTTTTAGTTACTTATTATAAAGTTAAGCTTTTGTATTTTAGGTTGCTAATATTATGCTTCATATGTTTACTTACAAGGCAGGAAACAAAATAAGATATATAATTCACAGCCTATAAATGCTGTAACAGTTCAGATGCTCTTAGCTACAAGTTTAGTTGGGTGTTCTCCTTAAACTCTGAGCCAAATGGTCAGCTGTCATGATCGTTTTCCATTTGGTCAGTTCCTGTACAGCCACAGAGGTATGATAGCCCAACAGAATATACTTGGTGAACCCATGTGGGGGTGGGGGTGGCTCTACCTCTGGGCAGCCTCCATCCCTCAGAAGGTGGAATTTTATCCCAGATGGTGCAAGCCACCTGAAGAATGGTGTATCCTGAATTGTCTTGTGGCATTCTCATATGATGTCCAAAAAGTATAAGGCTCCATCTATGGACAATACAGTAGGCTGTAGACTGGTGCAACCATAAATGTATGCATTACTAATAAAGCCATTCCACTTTATGCTCAGTATATGATGGCATTTTGTAAGGAAAACCTCCAGTTTTTGTCTGAGTGCCCATGTTTCGCAGTTGTACAACAGTATGGGGAGGATACAGCTATAACAGATCCTGAAATTGATTATTGGGCTATGATAATATTGATTCCATATTCATTGTAAAAAAAACATGACAGATGTTGCAATGCCAGTTCAATGGAGAATCTCTGTGTGAGAGCTGCAGGAATTGGTAAGCACAGAACCTAAATAGCAAAACCTGGAGGCTGCTTCCACAGTTTCATTATTCAAAGAAATTAGAGTCAGGGGGGTGGACCTGATCCTAGATCTTTCAGCTTTGTCTTTGACCATATGGGTGTCATTTCCAATGAGTTTCTAAGTGCCCATTTTTTGCCAGATAGATTGCACGTGTGCATACATAATCCCAGTTTGTACATACACTTGACTGGATAAATATCTATCTAACCCTGATTTCAGGCAAATCAATGTTTAACATATGCACATCTGGCGGTGCTTATGCAAAGCTTATGCATCTGCATGAAAACAAAGGCAACTACTGCAAATGCAGACTACTGTAAGAATTCCTACTTACCATGTCAAAAACATGTTTGGGGAAGTCATTGCTCACTGAATGCTGAGCCTGCATTCCAAATAATAAGACAGTTATATTAGGCAGAGATAATATAGGGCACTGGCCATAAGACCGGTTTAAATATGCAATAACTTTTGGGAAATACAAAAACAAAGTGTCAGGAAAAAGCCCTATATTTCATGTGGGTTTTTTTTTCCAATTGGTTAATCATATTACAAATACCTCTTTTGTTACCATTATATTTTGTTGGCAGGAGGAAGTATTATGTTAGTTAAGCACAGCTGAAAGCACTGCAATTGATTCTTTTAATTAAAAAGCACTTACACGTTGCATGTTGCAATTTCACAGCTCTGCAATGCATGTGCTTTTAAAAAAGCACAAAGAATAAAGAGTATGAGACTAGTAGTTCACAGAGCGAAAGAAATTAGTGAAGTGCAGTGAAAGGAGGCTTTTGAAATCACAGTTGCATTGCTTAACAGGTCAGTTAACAAACTTTGACAAAAAGCAACTGAAAACTACCTCTCTAATTATCCTGTCTCATGCTGCTTAAACTTCAAGGACCAAGAGAATGAATGTCACTAATCAATGAAGACAATGAATGAGAAGCTCCTAAGGATGCTTCTGTATATGTAACACAAGCACAGCAAGAAGGATCTATAGTGAAACGCTTTTTTAAAAGAGTTAATTATTTCTCTTCTATTTGTAATTATCTTTTGGAAAGGATTTAGAAGCCTGAGCAAAGTAAGAATGTTGACCCCAGAATCAGAAAACCTGTACCTTATGCTGGATCCCTCATCAGTGGGCATTTTTCTCTGACTTTGTGAATGCTAAGTCATGGAACTGTCATTACTATTAAACCCCAGAGAACCTGCCTGCAATGCAATGTTATTTTTATTAAGTGGATTTTTGCCAATATTTGGAAATGAAGAGCATTCTAACACTACATTGAATCATTGGGTTAAATTCAGAGGTGATACATGGTAATATAAGGTGCACATCAGTAAGGGTATGTCTACACTACCCCGCTAGTTCGAACTAGGAGGGTAATGCAGGCATACCGCACTTGCAAATGAAGCCCGGGATTTGAATTTCCCGGACTTCATTTGCATAAGTGGGGAGCCGCCATTTTTAAAACCCCGCTGGTTCGAACCCCGTGCAGCGCGGCTACACGGGGCACGAACTAGGTAGTTCGAACTAGGCTTCCTAGTTCGAACTACTTTTACTCCTCGTGAAATGAGGAGTAATGGTAGTTCGAACTAGGAAGCCTAGTTCCAACTACCTAGTTCGTGCCCCATGTAGCCGCGCTGCACGGGGTTCGAACCAGCCGGGTTTTAAAAATGGCGGGTCCCCGCCTTTTGCCCCGGGAAATTCAAATCCCGGGCTTCATTTGCACTGAGGGTATGTCTACACTACCCTCCTAGTTCGAACTAGGAGGGTAGTGTAGACATACCCTTAGTCACTGTAACTTGGACATAGAGGGACTAAGTTGTTTTTTGTTGTTGTTTTTGTTGGGTTAGGTTTTTGTGTGTGTGTGTGTGATTAGTGTAATTTACAAGCCAAAGTGTGGTGGGTGGGAGTTGGGGTAGGGGAGCTAGTAAAGCAAGAGAACAACTGACAGCAGGTGAAAATAGAGTAAATCATCTTTATATCCTTTTCCTTTGATCTTATGCTGTTAGTGGGTTTTGCTGATAAACAGCTCTCCTCACCTCTATTGCTTTGGACTGCAAATTACATGGGATATAACCACACTAATGAATAAGAAGTTGGACACTGCAAACAAAACCAGAAACCAAAACAAAAACACAGAGTTGGTCAGCAGCAGTCAATTTCACATCTGTACTTTTTTTTGTTTATCCAGACTGCTAGGACAGGAGCTGATACATTATTTAGTGAATGTAGGTCCAGGTTATGGCCCTCTGTGATCGTCTGGGGCTGGATCGTATGGTACAATGGGCTAGCTAGGCATTTTCCCAGCCTAAGGAATCCATAGATCCATATAAAACTGCACACATTTGCAGCACATAACAAGTAGTGTTACTGATTCTACAAAATCTAAAAACTAGATTGAATATGTCTGAGTACCATCCACTGACACTTGATCTATTAACTGAGTATTTATAGTATATGTATACAGGCATTTTTAATTTGCAGAGCATTCTTGTAACACTCTGTAACTATTTATGTTTTGCCATTATTTGTATCTATTTAATATTTATTAGACATACCTAGTATGCTCACAATTTTGCAACCCACAAGAAAAGACTGTAATGGAAATAATCTATAGCAGAAACAGCAAATATAATTCAGGCAGACTAACTAACTACTAAATGAAGGTTCAGTCTGAAGGCACTGCAAGTATCTCTGCTCTATGACCTCCTGTTACTTTCTTATACGGACTACTTCTATCTCAACATTTTGTGGAAAAAAGAGATTATACCTCTCGGCAATTAGATGGAAAATGAATATCTTAGCAGTAAGAAAGGATAGGGAGAATAAGACAGCTTTGGAAGGAGAAGATGAGAAGTTCAGTCTCACATGACAGTAGAATACTGATGCTTTCGAGGGGTAGCTGAATTAGCCTGTAACTGGAAAAACTTAAAAACCTACTAATAGTCTTGCAGCACTTAGGGTATGTCTACACTACCCCGCTAGTTCGAACTAGCGGGGTAGTGTAGACATACCCTAAGTGCTGCAAGACTATTAGTAGGTTTTTAAGTTTTTCCAGTTACAGGCTAATTCAGCTACCCCTCGAAAGCATCAGTATTCTACTGTCATGTGAGACTGAACTTCTCATCTTCTCCTTCCAAAGCTGTCTTATTCTCCCTATCCTTTCTTACTGCTAAGATATTCATTTTCCATCTAATTGCCGAGAGGTATAATCTCTTTTTTCCACAAAATGTTGAGATAGAAGTAGTCCGTATAAGAAAGTAACAGGAGGTCATAGAGCAGAGATACTTGCAGTGCCTTCAGACTGAACCTTCATTTAGTAGTTAGTTAGTCTGCCTGAATTATATTTGCTGTTTCTGCTATAGATTATTTCCATTACAGTCTTTTCTTGTGGGTTGCAAAATTGTGAGCATACTAGGTATGTCTAATAAATATTAAATAGATACAAATAATGGCAAAAAGACACAACCCATTTCTACTGTTTCATCCATGTGGAAATGCTGGAGAGGCTTTTAGTTTTCACTGCTAAATTTAGAAAAGGGTCTCTATCTACCGGCATATTCCAAAAAATGGTGTGTGGGGGGGGAGTGCTCAAGCCTGGAGTTTTGATTTGTATCCATCTTTCCTGGATATCTAAGACTCAATGGTCCAGAGATTCCTACCACTATCCCAGAGATTCTACCACTATCCCAGAGACTAATTCAGAGCCTCACAATAGACAGTTAAATTATTTTAATGTGGTCCATAGGCCAGCTCTAGAAATGAGTGCTTTGTACTACCTTTGCTCCACCGCAGATTTCCCACTGATAACAATAGGAGGCCTGTACAAAGATTAAATGTAGGAAAAGGTTCCTATATATTACCTGACTTCTAGAGCCAGAAAATGCTCAGTGCTGTTCTTTAAGAGACCAGATCTCTTTAACATGTCTGCAGTTAGTTATTCCAAAAATCAAGGCACAAAATCGCTAGTCACTTTTGAAATTTGCACCAAAAATCTCTGTTACAATCAACAACCACTGTAAAAAGAGAGACTATTGGCTTCTTGGTTCACATGTTGTATGTACCCTTCCACTGACAGCACAAAGTAGCATTCTTTTTGAGGTGTCATGATATTACATTGCAAGCTTTTATCTATTTTGCTTTTTCCTATCTCACACGATGCTTTTGTGGCCTTTCAGATTTTCAAGCAACTACTTCTCACTGGTTCCAAGTGATGCTCCTTCCTGCCCAATTTATGATTTTGCATTGTTCCAGATTTAATCTCATTTACTGCATTATGCCTCTGTCTCTAATTAACCACTAGGTCTCGTTTCACTTTTCTTTTGTTTATTGTTCTGTTTAGTTGAACATCTGCAAAGATAACTGAAATGTTTTTTACGCTTCATTGATTAATTTACTGCACAAATAGGATACAGAATTGTATCTTGAGAACACATATTGTTTTTAGCACAAATACCAAGTTATTTTGAAATAACTCCCCTGAGGGTATGTCTACACTACACACTTATTTTGGAATAAGCTATTTTGGAAGAAATACTCCAAAATAGCTTATTTCAAAATAGCATGTCTACACAGCAAATGCCCATCAAAATAGCACTTAGCTATTTCGAAATAGAGCGTTCACACTCATTGATGCTGAATCACATTTAAGGTCACCCAGACAACAGGCATCAGGCAGGGCATCAGGACAACAGTTACTTCCTGGAGCTGCTGCCTGAAGTATCTGAGGCTCAAGCTTAAAGGGACCCCCCTATACAGCCGTGTCTCAAGCTCCTGTCTTTTGCCTATATCCTTGAGGGACAGCAAATCCATTCTTTTACCTGCTTTGGTTGTGCTTGCAGACACCTCAGCTCTCTAGAAAAGGGGCTGGAGCTGCCTCCAAGCACTCGACAGCTCTTATTTGTCGTGCTGCAACTCTTGCAGCAGTTTCTGCAGGCTGCCTTCCAGGCCCTGCAGGAACGCAATGACCAGCTCTTTGGGGAGAACCTCATCATCTCTCTGCAGTCTCAGCTCATGCAACTGGACCCCACTGTGCCCCGCCACATCTGGTATCTGAAGACCAGTTCTGACTGGTGGGACCAGCTCACTATGGAGAGGTGGAATGGCCATCAATGGCTCCAGAATTTCCACAGGTGGAAGGACACCTTTCTGGAGTGTGAGAATGACTCACCCCTGCCCTCAGGCGACAGGACACCCACATGTGCCCCATCATCCCCCTTGAGAAGTGGGTTGCCATCACTCTCTGGAAGCTTGTCACGCTGGACAGCTACCGATTTGTCGGGAGCCAGTTGAGCATGGGGAGCTTGACCATCAGGGCCCTGCTCATGCAGGTATGGCACTCTCGGCTATTGTTCCAGGAGGGAAGTGAAGTGCTGGAAAGAGGTTCCCTGAGGAAAGGATGGGTTGTTGTTGGTGGTAGAATCCCTCTCCCCAGGAGGTTTTCAGTCCCACCCTCAAAAGATCCTGTGAGGGGATTGGGTGAGTAGGGGGTTGCTCCTAGTGTGTGAGGGGGAAAAGAAGGGTTGAGGATCTCCCAAGGGCACTGTCAGCCCTGTGATTCTCTGTTTGTTTGTCTCCTTCTACAGGGGGTGAGGGCTATCAACATTGTCCTGCTGCACAGGGTCATCAGTCTCAGCGACGTGGACCCCATCGTCTCTGGCTTTGCTGACATGAGCTTCCCCAACTGTGGGGGTTCTATTGACAGCGACCATATCTGCATCTGTGCCCCCGACCACCAGGCTTAAGAATACATCAACCAGAAAGGGTACTTTTTGATGGCCCCGCAGGCTATCACGGACCATCGTGGGCAGTTCACCAACATTGAGGTCAGGTGGTCAGGGAAGTCACATGACTCCCGCATCTTCCCAAACTCCAATGTCTTCTAGAAGCTGCATGCCAGTACTATTTTCTCCGACTGCACCATCAGGGTCGAGGACATAGACATGCCGATATGCACTATAAGAGACATGGCGTACCCTCTGTTTCCCTGGCTAATGAAGCCCTAGACCGGACATCTTCACCACACCAAAGAATGCCTCAATGCAAGGCTCAGCAGGGTCTGCATGGTGGTGGAGGGCACATTCAGGCATCTGAAGGTGAGGTTCAGTTGCCTCCTCACCCAGCTGGATGTCGGGGAGCGGAACATCCCACACGTAGTGGCTACATGCTCTGTCCTTCACAATATATGTGAAAGGAAGGTGGAGACATTCCTGCCAGGGTGGGGGGCAGAGGCCAGCTGGCTCAGCAGGGCCTTAAAGCAGCTGTGCACAGCTGCCATCCAGCAGGCCCAGCAAGGGGCTTTGTGCATCCAGGAGGCTCTGAGGGAGAGTTTC